AGTATGATTTTCCGGCTGTGCAAGGTGGGGTGTCACGTTCTTTATCTCTTGAACAAGTAATATATCTTTACTAATTTTGTTAATGTTAGTTTCCTCATTTATCTTAGAGCTGATCTCAGTATCGACTTTTGATGGTTCAGTAATCCCATCATGTCTAGTATGATCCGAGATATTACCATCGATTTTTCTAACTTGATCCATATTTTTGTTACGTATAAAATATTGACTGAGATTTTTGATAGGTTCACTAATTGCAGATATATTGTCAGACTTGGTTATGGAACTTTGTTCATCGCTCTGCATATTTTTTTCAACATCTCCACCAACGACGGGTTTTGATATAGTCTCCAATTTCAGACAGTCAAGTTCACTGACCTTTGAAGCTAACTCATGTTCTACTTCAGCTATTTTAGACCTGAGGGATAATATCTCGGATTCTTTTTTCGATGAGTCGTTTTGAATCGAAATCACATCTTTCTGGGCTGAAGACAACTTACTTTTCAATATCTTGATCACAGACTCGAGTGATTTGGTTTTCTTGGATTTTGTAACATTCTCAGCCTTGGATTCAGCAAGAGAAAGATCTTTACGAATATTCTCAGAGGTAAGGTTAGTATTTTCAATTTTCAACCGCTTAGTCTCACCAATAAGTTCTGAAGCGTGGGTATGTAACTTCTGTTTATCACTATTAACATTATCAAAAGCACTTTCCCATTGCTTTCTTTCCCGATCAAAATCCTTCACTTGTTTAGAGTATTTATTCTGTAATTTCTCGCTAAGATCATTGACTTCGGTTTTAGATTTGAGAGCAGTATATAACTTGTTTTCCAGCTCTTCCTCATACATACTACCAAGTCGATGACCTTTATTGATATCTCGTAATGTACGCACATTGGTCATATTAAATAATAAGTACTTTATTAAAAAAACATCTTTCAAAAATCAATAGGTATCAATATAATAATATCAATATATATATATCAATACATATCAATACATATCGATACTTAGATATAATAATATCAATATATATCAATACATATCAATATATATCAATATATATCAATACATGTCAATAAGATTCAATACATATCAATAAATATTGAAAAATATCGATGTTTTTTTTTTTTTTCTAAAATACATATTAACATAAAAATGGTTACTCGCCTTCATCAAACTTTCTATCGATCCAATGCAACCCAATTATCAGAGTCTGATATTAAGGAAATCAGAGATTCAAGAGGAAAAGTACCAAGTGCATCAAAGAAAATGGCAGAAAAATTTCATATTGGTACTCGTCGTGTATATGAAATATGGAAGTATACTGAACGTCTTCAACAAGATCTTAAACATGCCAGCTTTTCAGCTGATGAATCACAAGATATAGAAGCTTCAGTTATAAAATCGTCAATAAAAAAGAAAAGTTCCAAATCTCGGACTAAATCTGTATTATGTAATAATGAGCTCCGTTCTCATATATCTGATTCAATACCTACTAATAACTCTACAGAAAAAATAAGTAGTGAGGATCTGGGCGCATTATATGAAAAAGAAGCCAGAAGAGATGAGAAAAATAAAGCAAATATGACTCGCCTATTAGCTACTACTAATCTATAATATT